TATACTTCAAAAATTTATTCAGGGACTGGAATGTAGATGAATGGTGGACTCCTTGCTTCTCTAACATGTTGTAAGACTTAAGTTTGACCCATTAAAAACACACGCACACATTCACACACAAATCGGCAATCATTTGCTCAGAACCTAATATGTACAACATACTATGTTACTGCATGTGGAAAATAAATTGGACAAAATCTATTAAAATCTGTAGAAAAGAAAAACATTGTATAAATGCAGTACTTACTTTTGTTGTATTTTATCATAAATAGTTTTACTTATCTGACAAACGTAGAAGCATGATGTGGAGAAAATATCTCAAATGAGAAAATAGCCAATTGACTGGAGAAGCCAGCAGAGGCTTTATGTACTGGTACCTGTGGAGCGGAAGGGGACAGGGAGGGTCTTCATGAAGAGAGAGAGCCAACAGTAAGAGAAAAGGAGGAGAGCGGTTTCAGGACGGCAGTGCCTAGCAAGGGTCAGACTTGAGGGTAGGGTGTCCATAGGGATTGTCATAAGGTAAAAACTGTGCGTAAGAAGTAAGTGTGGGGGCTGCAGCCGTAGCTGGAGGGTGGAGCAAACTTAGCATGGACAAAACCTCGGGGTCTTCAGCAGGAGCGCGGCAGAGTCTGGGAAGGGGAACTGACTGAAGCGTGAAGACTTTCAGTAGTTCGGCGAGGTTGTACTTTCAAAGCTGACAGTTGCTTTGTGACTGGCCTGGAACTTTCTATGTAGATGAGGCTAGCCTCCAAGATACAACGCTCTGCCGGCCTCTGCTTTCTGAGTGCCCCCAGGACCGGCTCAGAGTTGCTTTTTTAAAAACATCATCTAGTTAGACCTAAGCTTTGAATCTAGTATAAGACAGTTTGAGCTATAGGAGGCTGTGGCCTACATCAAGTTCCTGGGTAGCAGGAGTTATATAGGAGACCCTGTGTATTGGGGCGGGGGTACAGAAATGTCTAGAACAAATTGCTTAGTTGGCTATTTTGGAGGAGAGTTGGGAGGTAAAATTATGAGGACTTTTGTCTCTCTCCCCCAATCTATCTTTTATTTTGCCTTTTTTTTTTCTTTTTTGGTTTTTCAAGACAGGGTTTCTCTGTGTAACAGCTCTGGCTGTCCTGAACTCACTTTGTAGATCAGGCTGGCCTGGAACTCACAGAGATCCGCCTGCCTCTGCCTCCTAAGTGCTGGGGTTAAAGGTGTGCACCACCACCACCTAGATATTTTGTCTTTCTTTGTTCTATCTTTTTTGTTTGCTGTTTTTTTTTTTTTTTTTGAGATAAGGTCTCTTTAGCTTTGGTTGGCCTGGAATGCATTCTGTGGACCAAGTTGACCTTAAAGGCACAGAGATCCCCTGTTTTGGCTTCTGAAATGCTTCAATTAAAGGCAGATGCTACCACACCCATTCCCTAATCTGTTAGTGATTTTTACTGATAATCTCTGTACAGCCCCTCCTCTCCTCCTGTTTATCTAGGGAGAATCAGCCCCAGATTCAGGCGGTTTCCCAGAAGAGGAGATGGCCTCTGGGTAGAAAGGCCTTCCAGGCCTAGTGAGGTCCTGTGGCAAGCCGAGGAGGAGTGTGAGCTCACTAGATTCTTCAACAAAAGTTCAGGGTCAAAGACCGTGTCTATAAACCTAAGCCTGGGTGGTGGCGTGTAAAATGATCTGAGTTTGAGGAGAGCCTAAGGTGGATAATGAGTTCCAGGTCGACTTGGGCTCCAGAATAAGACTCTAACTTAAAGCTGAACAAAAGAGAGAACTCAGATGTAGCCCAGTTGGCATTAGGTCACAAATGATGCCCCTGCTGGAGGACACACCTGATATCCAAGGCAGTAACTTCCCTAAACTAAAGCACATAGCAGCACCAGAGTAGGGAGGGATAATAAGATTAGTTCCTAAATTTTGACTTTATACCCTATCTAGTTTTAGTACCTTCACTAATCAGCTACACTGAGACTTAAACTTGCCTTCCCATCAAAGTCTCTAAACCTAAAGACTCTTATTTGTTCTGTGGGTAGTTGTTGGGTCTCTTAGCCCAGCTTCCTCCACTTTAAGTAGCCAGCATCACTAGAGGATATACCTCTCCTTAAACCCATCTGTAATGATCTGTCTCTTTAAGAGACAAGCCACGCCCACTCCCTCCCCTATCAGCTGAGGCAGGCTGATCTTCCACTTCCAGCCTGAGTTCTCTTTTTTCCAGCTCCCTCTCAGAGAGGCAGCTTCCATCTCTTCCTTCTCTCTCTCTCTCTCTCTTTCTCTCTCTCTCTCTCCCTCTCCCTCCCCCTCTCTCCTTTTTTCCCTTCCCCTCCATAACCCACCTAATAAATGTCCAACCTCACTCTGCATGGTGTGCCAACCATCTGTCTCTCGCCTGCCCCCGGGGACCAGCCACCTTCGGAGACCTGCGGCATGGTCTCATGCACAGTCCCTGCCTAGGACTGACCCCTGCCTGCCCCCGCGGATCCAGCAGCAAACTACTCGGGGATCCGCCGCAATTTTTATTTTTTTCATTACACCATCTCCTGTATCTCTCTACCAAATCTGGAAAGAATCTCTTATTTAAAACGTTTGGCATGTGTGCCTAATATAAATGACGTGTGGGCGCCATCCTTGGCACCTCTTACACCAGGTGTGGTGTTGCAGGACTGTAATCCCGGCACTTAGGAGGTGGAGACAAGTGGGTCGGAAGTTCAAGGCCATTCTTGACTGTGTAGGAAGTTTCAGGCCAGTCTAGGCTATATAAAACCTGGTCTCCAAAAACTACACAACCAAAATAGGCTGAAGGCTACTTGTGCCAGGGCAGCAGCCCTCTCTGCTACAGCCTTTTCTGCAGCCAGGACGTGGGGCTGGAGAATCTGACACTTTATGTTGACTTTGCTCGAGGCAGAACGATGGAGGTTGTCTGTACTTATGGGATGGGGAAGAATGTTCTCAGAGAATGCAGCATGGAGGACGTTGAGGCCCTGAAGGAACGGGAGGCCATTGGAACAAGCTTGCTCTTAAGAAGTGGTCGGTATACTCTTTGGAAGGCCCAGGGGGCCTGTGGCTCTGAAGTCTATGAAACCCACGGTGGAGCCGGGTGGTGGCGGCGCACGCCTTTGATTCCAGAACTCGGGAGGCAGAGGCAGGCAGATCTCTGTAAGTTTGAGGCCTATAGAGCAAGTTCCAGGACTAGTTCCATAACTACCCAGAGAAACCCTGCCTTAAAAAAAAAAAGTCCAAACAACACCTTCCTCCCCCAAACTATTTATTTCTCATATTTCTACAAGTTTCGATTAACTAGATTAGAAGTAAGGCATGGAGAGTTCAGTTCCTGGTGAGGGCTCTTTTCCAGACACAAGGGATGTTGAGGTCGGGAGACTTAAGAGGGGACAGCTTCCTTTTTGTTTGTTTCAACGATACTGGGTGTTGGGTCCAGGGGGTTGCGCAAAGATGGGAACAGACCACCAAAGTCTAATAAACCAGAAGCAAACTTTATTCCAGAAACCAGATTCCAGAAAAAAAAATACATAAAATAAAACATCTCTATGGGAAACAAAAAGCTTATCAGCTAGCTGGGACCACAGCCAGAGATGGATTTTGTAAGCCTGTGGTAAAGACCGGTTTCTGAACCCACTTTTTTACAATAGGGGTACTAAGCGTTAGGTCTGAACAAAGGAATTTTTACAATCTCAGGTAAAACTCAGATACAGATTGCCTTACTTTACAATCTTCATTAACAGAGTTTTTCAGCTAAACTAGTGTTCGTACTTAATCTACTGCCTTCCTTGGTACTTCCTGGTGGTGTTTTCTGAAGCTCTATGTTCTCCCTTTTGATGCTGCCAGTTTCACATAGCAGGGATAAATGCATAACCCAGAGGTCATATATCTGTCTCCTAAAAGTTGACGGTCTTTAATCAAGGATGGCCGGGGGTGTTAGGCTCTCGGTTTGCAGAGATGCTTCGGCCTTGTAAATAGAGCTATGGGTTGTAAAGCGGAGTAGCCCACTGTTCATAGTTAATCCTTAAGTTGCTGAGAAAGCTGCTGACAGTCTGCTCTCGTTCTCCTCGGCTTACAGCTTTATATTTCTTTATTGCTACATTCTTATTTTTGGCATCTACATTTTTATATTCTTATTCTTGGACCCTTCACTGGGGATCTCTTCTGAAAGTCTGAGCATGCTAAGCACACATTCTACTTCTGAGCTATACTCCTGGCCCCCATTCCCCTCTGGAAGGCCTATGTTGGATTGGAGGGCCACCCTTATTTAACACAAGCTACCTCCTAAAGCCTTGCTGTGGGTTTACAGCCTTGACATTTCAGTTTGAAGGGAGCATTATCACTCTGTTTATTTTTGTCGCTGTTTGAGGTAGGGTCTTCTTAGGTCCCGGCTGTTCTTGACATTGTGGCAATCCTGATTCTACCTCTGGGGCTGGGCCTACAGGTGCGTGCCACAATTTACGAGTTTTCTGCTTTTAATCAGTGAAGCTGCTGTGTGGTTGTGGCCCCGCCTTTAACCCCAGCATTCGGGAATCTGAGGCAGGCAGATCTCTGAGTTCAAAGCCAGTCTTGGTCTACAAGAGTGAGTTCCAGTACAGTCAGGGCTACACAGAGAAACCCCATCTCGAAAACAAGAAAAACAAGAATAAGTGAAGCAATATATAAATCTTTAGTTTATGTATTCTTTTCCCCCCCTGACTTTCCGGCTGTCATGACTGTCATGAGATCTCCTGCTAAGTCATTTATCAGTTGGTGCCTGAGCCAAATTTGTTCCCAACTCAGTGCTGGGACATGGAAGGGACATGGACATAAGTTAGGCCATTCATTCCAAATGTAAGACTCCTATGAGAAGTAAAGTAGGCCATAGGACTCCCTAGTGGATTTTCCTTTTTTTTTTTTTTAAATAGGTTTACAAGTATCCCCAGTTGTCCTAGGATATGCTTTGTAGCTGAAGTTGACATAAAACATCTATCTGATCCTCCTGCCTCCACTTCCCCAGTACAGGATACAGGTGTGCACCACACACAGTTCTTGTGAGGAGCTAGAAATTGAACCCAGGGCTTCATGCATCCCGAGCAAGCACACTACCAACTGAGCTGCGCACCCTGTTCCAGCACCCCAGAATGGAACCGCCTTGTGAGCTCTCTTAGAACTGTGAACTGCACCTCCGCCTAAGGTCTGTCTGCACCCTTCCTGCATCCCTTCCTTTAACTGGGCTCAGCCCCTTTTTGGTGTCGGCTGGTTCTTCCCCCCATTTGTCGTTTCAATCTCCTTCACAGACATTGTGTCTGATAAATCCTATGCATGTATGGAAGTCAAATCCCCAAATATCACCAACAAAGGAAAGCATATTTATACTTACCATTGTATGAGAGATCTGCGACCTTAAGAGAGCTGAGGTGGTGCTGCAAAGGAGCAAGAGCAAGGTCTGAGCTTCTTGAGATTCTAGGAGGGGAAGATGGATATGCTATCTTAGTATTTTAAGACTAATGGAAACACCAAGGAAAGATGGTTAAACCAGGGTCTGAAGAATACAGAACAGACGCTGCTGGTTTCTATTAAAGAGGTGAGTTTTTCAGCTATTTTTCTATGATGTTCAATAGAGATGTTCCCTTGGGCACATCTCTTGAGATAGTACAGTTCTGCTGAGAACAACAGACCATGTGTGGGGTGGTTTCAGCCTTCACTGCTGGTTTCTTCTTGGCCTTTACATGGGATGACAGACTTACACAGGTGCAAATATAATAGGCAAAAGCATCTTTCATTTTTTTTTTTTGTTTTGTTTTTTTTGCTTTTTGAGACAGGGTTTCGCTGTAGTTTTAGAACCTGCCCTGGAACAAGCTTTTTTTTTGTTTGTTTGTTTGTTTTTGTTTTTTGTTTGCTTGTTTTTTTGAGCCAGGGTTTCTCTGTAGCTTTGGAGCCTGTCCGGGAACTAGCTCTTGTAGACCAGGCTGGTCTCGAACTCACAGAGATCTACCTGCCTCTGCCTCCCGAGTGCTGGGATTATGGGATTAAAGGCGTGCGCCACCACTGCCTGGCAGGAACCATTGTTAAATGGAGAAGAAAGGTGGGTATGGTGACTGACTGCTGTAACTCTGTATTCAGTCTACATAGCCAACAAGACTTGATCTCAAATACCAAAGTCTATATCACTCTGACATCATGTCACAGTGCACCTGTTTTTCTCTCTCCCTCTCTTGAAGCAAGGTCTCAACATGCAACCTATGGTATGAAGACAACACTGTAGTCTTCACTGGACCGCTGGGATCACAGGTGTGCTGCCGTACCATGACCATGACTGCCCAGATCCCACCAGCTCCCTCCCCCCCCGACCTGCCCAGGGTTTCATGTAGCTCTCACTGGTAGGCTGGTTTGCGCGGAAATTTAAAATTCTTTATATCATATGTATGGGTGTTTAGCCTGCACCATGTCTGTGTACCACATACATATTTGATACTCAAGGAGGCCAGAAGATGGCATTGAATCCCCTGGGACTGGAGTTTTAGGTGGTTGTGAGCAGCCGTGTGGGTGCTGGGCACCCATCCTGGGTCCTCTGCAAGAGCAGCCAGTGCTCGTCATTGCTAAGACATCTCTCCAGCTTCCTGGTGGCATTTATTTATTTATTTATATGTGTTTTTATTTGGGTGTGTGCATGGGTGTCTATGTGCATATACATATGCACAGGGTGGGCTCTCATCTGAATGCATATGTATAGGTCAGCTTCAGGTATGTTCCTCTGTGCTCTCAATTTTGTGGTTTGAGAGAGGATCTCTCACTGAACTTGGAGCTTGCAGTTTTAGCTAAACAGGCTGCCCAGCATCTCCTGGGATCCACCTGTTACGGCCTGTAGTGGTTTGAATAAAAATGGCCCTCATAGACCCATAGGGAATGGCACTGTAAGGAGGCATGGCCTTGTTGGAGTGGGTATGGCCTTATTGGAGGTAGTGTGTCACTAGGGTGGGTTTTGGAGTCTCAAAAGTGACTAGTGTCTTCCTGCTGCCTGCAGATCCAGATATATAGAGAACTCTGCTCCTTCTGCAGCACCACGTCTGCCTGTATGCCACCATGCTTCCTACTATGCTGACAATGGACTACTCCTCTGTACTGTAAGCCAGCCACAATCAATTGGTTTCCTTTATAAGAGCTGCCATGGCCATGGTGTCTCTCCACAGCAACAGAAACCCTAAGACCTGCCCAGCACTGGGATTGCGGGCCTGCCCTGCTGGCTTTTCTCAGAGATGATGAGGAGTCCGGCTCGGATCCTCAAGCTTGTGTAACAAGCACAAACCTTTACACACTGGGCCATCACCCGGTCCCCTGTGATACCATTTTGCAAGAAATTACAACTGGGGGAAATTGGGCGAAAGGTATTTGGGATCACTTTGTACTTCCTTCTTTCTCTTTTTTCTTCTTTTTTTTCTTTGTGATAATCTCACATTTCCCTGTAAATCTACAGTTAGTTCAAAACAAAACATTCAATTAAAAAAAAAAACACAAAACCAACCAACAGATCAAGCCTGTCTGTCTGCCTTATTCTCGTAGCTTTTTGGCAGTACCTTGTGATTGTCTAGTAGCCTTTTTTTTCCCTCCACCCCCCTCTCTTTGAAGTCCAGGAAGGGTGTCAGTTCACCACAGGTGTTTCTGAGGACACTTCTAAATGTGCCAAAAGAACCTGCTATTTGCCAGTGCGCGAGGGAAGCCATGCTAACATTTCCTTGGCAAGTTTCTAAGTAAGGGATTATTATTATTATTATTTAATTTTACTGGGTTTTCTTTTGAGATAAGGTCTCATTCTGTGGATCTGACTGTCTTGGAATTCACTATGCAGACCAGGCTGGCTTTGAATTCACAGAGATCCAGCCGACTCTGCTGGGATCAAAGGTGTATGCCTCCCTGCCTGGCCAGTGTAAGTAGTTAAATCAGGCATTGGACCCATGTCAGTTACAGCGTGATTTCCCATGGGAGAATCGGGAGAGCTAGAATGAAGCTTTCTTATGTGAGGGTCTGGAGAGGTGGTTTAGTGGCTAAGAGCTATGACAACTCTTCCAGAGGACCTGGGTTCAATTCCCAGCACCCACATGATAGCTCACAGTTCCAAGGGACCTAACACCCTCACCCAGACATACATGCAGACAAAACACAGATGCATATAACATTAAAAGAAAGGTTTTCTTTTGTGTTCCCCAAGACCTGAGAGGAGAACAGAGCTCGCCACATGAGGAATCCTAGGTTTTAGCTAGTGCTTTAGCTAGTATTTAATTAGGACACCTGAAAAGATGTCATGAAGAGACGCTAAGTGTTTATGGAGGCGCTAGAGGGCCGGAGCTGACGCTGGCTCTCTGAGCTTTAGCCGACTGACCCATTGGGTCTGAACATTCATCCCTTCATCTGGAAAGCCGGTCAAAGAGAACCAACCATGCCAAGAGAATTACATCGAAAAGTACAGTGTTTAGCGCACCGTCTTGACATTCAGCAAACACCAGTTCTTTCCCACTTGTATTTCTCAAGCAGCAAAGCAGCTTGTAGGTCGAAAGGCTGTCTTCCTGTTGCCTGTCGGCTGCCAGGGCTCAGCACCACCGGCGGGAATTCAGTCGAAATGAAAGGGAGCTCTAGAATTGTGTGACTTAGATTTAGACCAACACGGGAGCAAGTTGAAATCAGTCGTGCCTTAGAACACACTGACAACTGTCTCACATTTCATGTTTATTTCCCCACCCTGCCCCGGACAGAGTTTTTCTGTGTATTTCTGACTGTCCTGGCACTCGCTCTTTAGACCAGGCTGGCCTCGAACTCACAGAGTTTTTGGGTTAAAGGCGTGCACCACCACTGCTCAGCTTTGTTTATTTCTTTAATCAGGGCCAGTTTCAGTCTCTTAGAAAATAGCAGGAGGCTGTAGAGGAAAGGTCAGGTGCTGGGTGGGAAGCCTGTTCGGTTTTGCGTGGTTGGAGAGATGGCCCAGTTGCTTGCAGCTTTTGTAGTTCAGTTCAGCGTCAGTGTCAGGTGGCTCAACGCTGTTTGTAATGGCTTCTCCAGCTCTAGGGATCAGACACACCTCCAGCTTCCATGAACTTGTTCACACACACACACACACACACACACACACTAAAAACCAAAAAATCCACTCCGCATTCCCTTTGCCCAAAACAAAACAAAATATCTAGGAACATTGAGAACCTTTTAGCTGGTATTTAGCAAAATATGTATTTTAAATACTTTTTATGGAAAAGCCTGTTTTCCTATTTTTTTTAAAATACATGGCTATACAAGGCCATTTTTATGCAAGTATATAATGTTCCTTGAGTATATTGTCTTGTCCCTACCTACCATCCTCCTCTTTATTTCTTTTTTAAAATTTTAAGTTGATTGACAGTGTCATGCATACCTAGGATACATTTTGATTACTCTCTTCCCGCCTTCTCTTATCTCTCTCCTGTCATTTTCTCTTCAGCACAGTGACTGCGCCTTACTCTACGGCTATCTCAGCCAGCAATTGCAACTTGGCAGTTACCGGGCTGCTTGTCTAGCGACGGCCTGGCCTCTAAGGCTGCAGCCTGGGGAGGATTCTGCTCCCTCAGGCACCGGTCCTGTAGCTACTGCTTTAACTAATTCTCAGTCGTTCTAATTATGAATCAGACTAGAGATTCAAAGACTGGGGTGGAAACCTTCAAGCTCAGAGAGGCTGAGTAGCAGCTATCTAACTCTCTCTCCTTGCTTTCGTCCACAGAAGGCCTGGGCTTCCGCATTGCCAAACCAGAAAAAGCTGCGCCACTCCAAACCCCACCCCACTACTTCCTGTGTGTATCTCTCTCTCCCAGATGCCCTCGGATGCCCTATGATTGCTTTCTGTCCATTAGCTGCTAATACAGTCTCCTAACCCAAGGTTAATTTTATTTAATTCACACAAACTCAAACTCAGGGTTCATGGTATGATTGAATATCCCCCAATACTCTCCTACCCCTTTCACCTGGGTCTTTCCTAGATTCGTGATATCTGTTGGGTGACCAATTTTTTTAATCACTGCCATGTCTGTGACCACTGGATGTGGACTGTCCTCTGGAACCTGGTGGACTCACCAGTGGGTACAAACTTGAAGGCAATGGTTCCGCTGGCTCCGCCTTTCCCTGACTATCGATAGGAAATAGTCCAGCAGTGAGGGATGAGGCTCCCTAAGGTTCTCCCTCATCCTTGCTCGGCTATTGATGAGACTATTCTGGTGCCGGTCTGGTGTAGTCATCTGTATTTGTTGAGAGCTCATGATTACATTGGCTGTATATTGTCAAGATGGCGTTTTTTTTTTTCTGTTCTTGTCCCTGTCTTTCAGATCTTACAGTTATCCCATCCCCTTCTTCCGCAGGGTTCCCTAAACCTTACCCAGCTTTAACAGTTATTCTTAAAAGCAAAGTTGTGTTTGGGAGTAGTTCAGTGGTAGAGCACTTGCCTAGGACTCTCCCACAGTGACTTGCCTTCCATTGAGTCCCACCTTCCAAAGGTCTCTTCTCCACTCCTCAGAAGCCCAAAGGCTGGAAACATGGTCCTTTGGGGGACATTAAATATTTAAAATTCTACAGTCCTCAGAAAGGCTTCTGGCAAATAACCCATCCCAAGGTGAAAGGGGTCAAAACACACAAACTTGATCCAAATCTTTGCTTCAAGATCAAATAATACCAGGATTGAGTAAAAAGAGATAATTTTGCTGGCGTTCATCTTTAATCTCAGCATTCAGAAGGCAGAGGCAGTGTTAATCCTACTGACTGAGAGTAAGAGTACAATCATAGTTTAAAGCCAAATTTGAAGCAGGCTCTAATTAAATACTAGCCATGCGGCTGGACTCTGGCCAGGTAGATACCCAGTTTCTTGGGAAATGGCCCTGAGTCACAGTTGCCACAGGTTAAGAAGAAAAACCCATAATCCATTGTATTTCTCATCAGGTCCAATCAGGAGCAAGCATACAACCTGACGTATTTCCTGCCTACACACCTCCCACCCCTATGTGATCAAGCACAGCTGGTGCAGTGAGTCAAGCAAACTTGTGTAGGGGAGCGAAAGCAGGTGGCTTCTTATCTCCATAAATAACAGCCGCCAGCATTTCAGGGTCTCTCTGTTCTCAGGCAAGGGGCTTGCAGACCAGAGGCATTTTTGTTTCATGGCTCTCTTAGGCATAGTAATGAAAACCTAAAATTCGATTTCGGCTCTCACAGAAGGCTGATGGTTCTCTATGAGTTTAAGGTCAGCCTGGACAGTTTTCTTTTTCTCTTCTTTTTCTTTCTTTCTTTCTTTCTTTCTTTCTTTCTTTCTTTCTTTCTTTCTTTCTTTCTTTCTTCTTCTTCTTCTTCTTCTTCTTCTTCTTCTTCTTCTTCTCTTCCTCCTCCTCCTCCTCCTCCTCTTTTTTTTTTTTGGTTATTGTTTTTTCCAAGACAGGGTTTCTCTAGCTTTGGAGCCTGTCCTGGAAACTAGTCTCTCTGTGTAGCCTTAGCTATCCTGGAACTTTGTGTGTAGGCCAGGCTAGCCATGCAGTCATGGAGATCTTCCTGCTGAAATAAAGACATGCAGGACCACACTCAGCCAGGGTTCCATCCTGAGCTTTAGGACATGGACCGACAGGAACTGTGGGAGTGAAATTTGTTCTGGGGACTCACTGGCTCTCAAACACTGCAGGTGGGTTGACGGTTCTTCAAGGTCACAACTCCACACAGTTACAAGGAGGCAGACACAGGGAGATGTGGCTTCTTGGTGAAGCTGAAAGGTCTTGTCTTTTCACTCAGCAGGCTAGCACCAACATTCCTTGAGGAGATGGGGTATTATGAACTGATTCTGAAAGTCCTACAGCAGCAGGCGAGGGAGAATCAAAGGGACAGTTCTGAAGGTGGTGCCAATTCCAGTTTTACTTTTGGGTTACTATAATGTGTGCATTTTTTTTTGAGACCCGGTTCTATGTAGCTTAAGCTAGCCTCAAACTCTCCATGAAGCTGGGGTTGGCTTTGAACTCCTGATTATCTGGCCTTCACTTCTCAAGTGCTGGTATTATAGATTTGTACCACCGCTGGGGATTTAATTTAGGACCACATTCATGTTAGGCAAGGTCTCAACTACTGAACTATATCCCCAACCCTCTTTGTTTTTTCCTTTGAGACAGGGTTTCTCTGTGTAATAGCCCAGGCTGTCCTCAAACTCACAGAGATCTGCTTGCCTCTGCCTCCTGAGTGTGCTACCACCACCTGGCTCCTCCAGTTTTTGTGTTTTGAGACAGGATCTCACTGGTAGCCTTGGCTGTTTTGGAGCTCACTGCACAGTCCAGGTTGGCCTTGAACTTATGGAGATCTGTCTGTTTCTGCCCCCCAATTGCTGGGTTCAAAGGTTTGCACCACCACACCTTGCCCTACCCCTCAGCCCTCTTCTTTTTAGTTTGACAATAGTCTTACTAAGTAGTCTAGACTGGCTTTTCATTCACTCTATACCCCAGGCAGGCCTT